GCGGCATCCGGCGAGTTGGTATTGCCGGGGACGATGCAGTTCTTGGGGGTGCATCGTTACAGTTCTTTTTTAGCAGTAGACACAAGTACCACATCACTGAAACTGTAATTTCGAATCCCAGAACCGATTCGATTTTATTCCCAGATAGGTGAAGTTTATCTGATTAAGAAATCGATGTATTTCCTGATGTTGTAATATAAAATGCGATTTCATTACATTTTAATAAATATTTAAAAAATGAGATTTAAATCGTACATAAATTTTTACTTCCTAATTAACATAATTTTTTGTTTTTTATTTAAAAAATAAGTTTAAATATATGTAAAATGTACAATTAAAACATATTTATCTCGTTCTTTCAAGAGATACATACACTTAGCTCACTTTTTGAAAATGTGATTTTCTCGAGAGAAAGATTTATATTAAATCTTAAAATTTATATTAGACCTAATCACCATTCGCAGTGTACTCTTTTAATGGCTATATGTGTGTATATTTGCTGCCACTGCTGAATCGAGCAATCGGCAATATTGTCACAAAAGCTGAGATCAATCATCTCTAATTTAGGGCAATTCATGAAAATTGCGTGACATATCTCAGCTGTCAAGGATAATGTACCTAACAAATCTAACTGTTTTAAATTTTTACACAATGTCAGTGCTCTTAGATCACGTTCAGTAAGGCCTCTAACAGAGGTCAGGAAAACTTTTTCCAGGTGTTAACAGGAGGAAAACAATCTACGGAACAGGGTTGGTAAAAAAAAGTTTTGCTGCCACTGCTGAATCGAGCAATCGGCAATATTGTCACAAAAGCTGAGATCAATCATCTCTAATTTAGGACAATTCATGAAAATTGCGTGACATATCTCAGCTGTCAGGGATAATGTACCTAACAAATCTAACTGTTTTAAATTTTTACACAATGTCAGTGCTCTTAGATCACGTTCAGTAAGGCCTCTAACAGAGGTCAGGAAAACTTTTTCCAGGTGTTGACAGGAGGAAAACAATCTACGGAAGCTATTACCATGACCAGTTGTACTGCCGCACCAACCAAAATCCACTTCTCGTAGATTTTTGCAGTCAGCAAGGGCATCAATACCTTGCGATGTGTAAGAGTGTGTGTTTTCCATAAATCTATACTTTCCAAATCTGGACAGGAATTTTTCAATTCCATTGCAACTTCATCTACATTCAGACTTTTGTCGGTGCCTCCTATTCGTAAGTGACGCATTCGTACATTTCTTCGCAGTATCTTGCAAAGAGTCTGAGTATTTATATGTGTCCTGTAAAGATCCAAATGCTCCAGGAACTCCAGATTTTCGAGATATGAGAATCCCTTTTCACTTATCGAGTCACAATTACGTAGACCTAATTCTTTCAAATTTTTGCATATTCTTGAAATTTTAAGCATGGCGTTGTTGTTAATCCATAAGCAGCAATTTAATCGTAAATGTGTTAAGAGATTACCACAAGTGACAAGAAAATTGTCAATTTCCGGAAAAAAAAATTTCACACCATGAAAGATCCAACCGTCGTAAATATTTACATCTAGGTGCTAAGTAATACAATGCTTTTTTCTTAATAACGTGCCAATATGGTTTTAAGTTTAAACTTGTATAAAGCAGATGGTCTTGTGCTAAATTATTGAAATGTTTATTTACTCTGCTCATGCGACATAATGACTTTAGGTCCAAGTTTCTTAATATTCTCATTATTATTTCATCAGGAAGTGCAGAAAAATTATAACGTGATGGCTTCTTGGATTCATCTGAAGAGTGTTTAACATCTTTCATAAACTTTGAAAGTTCTTCTGATAAAAAGCGTTGCATACTATCAGATCCTTCTTTAAGAGGTGGTACACAATAATAAAGGGATCTTAGCTGAGATGTTAAGTTGCTGTCGTGAAAATTTGCTACTACATCGCTACAAATAAAATATTGCAATTTTTTATGACAGTAACGCTAACTGACTAAACGCTAAGGTTGTGCTAAGGTTAGAAAAGTCATTTTGAAAAGTAATTTGTCATTATTACGCGTTACTTTTTTTAGTAAGTAATATATACTATAAATTTAGTAAGTACTATATACTATAAATATATATATATAATATAATAAAATTTTTTTAAATTGATACAAATGTATTATTTTTTATCATGTAATCTCTGCTCACATAAGCTGCAAAGTACGTGTTTCATGTAATGCGTTTATTGCATTTATGCCCATTTCCACCAATGTAGATTAACTTTAATCTCAGTTCAACTTACTCTTTGTCTTTTTTTATTGTTTAGAACTAGAAAAAGATGACGAGTAAGTTGAACCGAGATTAAAGTTAATCTACATTGGGGTGGAAACGGGCATTAGTGCACTAAATTCAATCTGCGCACTTTGTATGCTTCGGGCATAAATCCCGCCCACTAAAAATACTGTATATCCCAAAAACAGGTGGGATATACAAGACAACAAACTAAACAAAGAATACGAAAGCAAAGCACTTGTATCTTGCTATACAATATTTTTTACTATTCCTCTATGTAAATCTAAAGCAATAACCTAATTGGCTCATCGGCTTAAGTTTAGGTCTTACGATTACTGTTGCAGAATTTTGTATGCGGCAGCCCTAAGAAGCTGAAATCATAACACGATACTAATACAACATAGAGGCATGTAACAGAGTAGTTGCAGGAAAATTACCCCACTCCTTCTATTTTTTCTGAGGGTGCCGTCCCATAACGCGTATCGCACGTGC